TAACATGGGTGATATAGGTATACCAAGGTTGCATAGGCCTTGTAGAGGGGTTGCATAAACACTAAACCCTCAACACTACACGGATTTAGATTTCAGGGTTAAGGGGCGTTGATTCAAAGTTGTAGGCCTTCCCAAAGGGTGCCCCGTTGGGGTTCCTCATGATAAAGGTTTCAGGTTCTTGGGTTGTCTGGGGATTTAGAGTTCAGGGTATCGGGGCTTCGAAATAGAATCTTCAACGCTGAGCGATATGGCTTGGGATCCAACGAGCAGAACAGTGTACATGTTATATCTGTCAGGGATCTATGGCCGTGTTTTAATGGGTTCACAAGCCTCGAGTTTAGCCAATCTGGTCAAATTTTTTCTCAACCACCATTTAGGGGTGAGGTGGGGTGAGGTCGCTGCAATTTGCCTGGATAATACATCAGCTCTCCCGGGGCGAAGTGATGGCCAAATGGCGGTTTAGGGCTTTAGGGTTGAGCGCTTAGGGTTCCGGTGTTATCCCACTCGTTACCATGGTATAGGGATACTTTGGGGAGGGGGCATAAAGCATAAGGCGATCATGAGACGCCTTATTAGTGACTGTATGGGGATTGTTTCGAGAAACACCCATTCCTGCACAGTTTATGGCGTAGGGGATGGCCACAACCCGTGCAGTAGGGGAGATTCCTAGTGGCTCCCCAAGAGTATCAGAGTTTTGGGTTAAAGTTCTGGGGAATTAGGGTTTAGCGTTTGGAGTTTGGGGTAAGGTTTAAGGTTTGACCATCTAAGTAGGACACTGAGAAGGAGGTTGATAGGGAGGTGTCTTAGGAGCCGGTCCTAGCTGGAGAGGAAACTACCTGATATTGGCCTGTGCTTGTCATAGAAGTTTGCCAGTGTCGGTGTCATGGAACAAACGATGCCGACGGTACTAACAAGAGTGACAAGTGGTGGACATCATTCAAATGGAACTGCGCCGCTTCACGAAACCCTGCAATTCTCGACGCCCCATCGCACTTCCGAATCCAAGGCTTTCAGCATACATATATACATATATGCAAAGCCACAGTAGCTCCTGCCTGACAAACCCCAGCATCATGTCGGGATTACAGGGTGGGGGAGGGGGGCGATGCAATATTCATGAAAGATTCCACAGGGGTCACTTGCGCCGATGTCGAAATGGTCCCAATCTGGGAAGTGGCCACCGCCTTTTTGTCTTGCTTGAAGGTAACCAGACGTCTCCCGTTCCGCATAGCGTAACTGCAGCGATTGATGGTGTCGATTTGGGACAACTTCATCTCTTTGCCAGAATCCAATGCGACCTTGTAGGAGGCGGTGTAGTAAGGCTGAAGCTTGAAGACCTGCCCAAGCACTAGGCCCTAAACCCCAACACCCCAAAACCTTAAAACCACTAGGCTTAACAATTTGACTGTCGTTTTCCGTATGGGCATGGAGGACATGTGGCAAAGTCCTCCTGAATCTTGAACGTGCCGCTGTCACTTGGAACAATGATATCACCTCCTTGAGAGAACAGCATGGGCGTCCGTTTATTCAACTCATGCGCATTAGCAGTTAAGAGTGCCTAAGAAGTCATGTGTCCTTCTTCACAGTAGTTGTCTTTATGCTTGGGCATTTCCGACGTGTCAGACAAGCTAGTTGGGGCGGATACCAGGTAGCCACTGGTCTTGACATCTCCGAATGCCCTCTGCCACGCTGGCTCAGGTTCTTGCTCCTTTGCCGCTGCACATATCCCGAATTTCCTAACTGCTAAACCCCAAATCGTAAATCCTAAGCCCTAAACCCTACACCTCCAAGCCCCAATACTCTCGCAAGGTCAGCTTGCGCCTATCTTTGCCGGCAGGGGGTCTCCGCCTCCGCACCCACCGGGGCCAATGTTCAAAGTTTGCGGGTTTAAGGTTTACTTTAAGATTTATTGGGCGCATGAATTTTGGGGTTCCGAGCTTTAGGGATTGGGGGTTCGGAGTTCCGGGTTTAGGATTCGGGGCGGAGGGACGTTGAGGGAATGCGAAACGTAATGAGCAGCTTATGTGAGGGTTGAAGCTTCCGATTTTTGAATTGAAGGCTGGCTGAGACTAAGTCTTGCAAATGGCAGGCTGTTGGGGGAACGTCTTGAAGGGGAGATAAGGTGAGGAGTTCTTCACGTGAGGAATTACGAGGTGGGTACCCTTACATAAAGCTTATGTAGGGCTATCATGGGGAGGAGGCGTGCCAAGGCCATGTTGCGCTTGCATGAAATTTCAGTAGATTAGGGTTTAAGGCTCATTCCTACACAGTAGTCCGAACTTGCACAGCGCCTGGCAAAGTGCAAAACTGTTCCATGTACTTTGTAAATTGTAAGCCTTGCCCCACAAGCCCTGAACTCAGAACTATAGTAGTTCTCATTTTCTTTTCCATTATCCACATATAGCCCCAACATAACCCTATGATCCCTATATAGCCCATTATCATTATATGTAGTTTCCATGTTCTTTTCCATTATCCCTATGTAGCCAGCAATATAACCGTATAATCCCTGAACTCAAAACTCCCAACCCTAAACCCTAAGCCCTACACCCTGAACCCTAGACCCAAAACCCAAAATCCTGAACCGCGAAAACCCAGCAGCCTCCCCGAACCCAAACCTGGAGGAAGCCTGGTCGCCACTTTAACTCAAACTAGGCTGAATCTAGGGTTTAGGTTTAGGGTTCCCCCAAACTACGGTGAAATCCCATGTAGCCCGCTTGAAGTGGACATTTGTCTTGATGGGCCCCCTTTTGTCGTTCCGTGTTCGCATGCGACAGTAACCCCTACACCCTAGAGTCTCTAGAGCGTATACATCCCTCTAGCTCTCTAGAGAAACATGCACAGATATTCATAGCTCTCTTGTTCTGTTAAAGCTTATATGCTCCCTACATAAACCCTATGTTAAAACCTTAATCCCTAAACCCTGAACCCTAGCTAGCTCTATAACGTCCTGCAGTAGTCGAAGGTGCCTAAGCTCTATAACAGCCTTCCCAAAGCATCCCATGGCTGGGTGCTGGGCCCATCGTCGGGCTGGCTGCGCTGCGCCGGGTGACCCGCCTTAGCTTCGAACGGGGTTGGTTTAGGGCTTAGGCTAGGTAGGCAACACCAGGAGGGGAGCTTCCAAAGTCCGAATTTAGGGTTTAGGGTATGTAGGCACTAGGGAAGTGCTTCTGTAAGGTCTAAACGTTGAACCCCTCGTCCTTCTAGAGCTGCTTGATGTCGCGCAGGGAACCCTCGAGTCTTGAAAACTCCCAACTTCCTCGCCCAGCTCAACGAATGTCCTCCCAGCATACCACGGGCCCCATTAGTTGAAAGTTCCCTGGAACCTGAATTTCAGCTGGTTGTCAGGTTTATAGATACCTGCAAACGATAATTGCTTCCAGGTGCCGTCCAGTTAGCAAACCCGAAAAAGAGACCCATATCAAGAGTTTTTTTTAAGATGGGCTGTCTCGAAAAGAAAACTTGTATAGCCCTTGACTTCAAAATGCAGCAGTAATGCACTCAAATCTCGAAGTATCCCTTGCATGCTCAAAAGAAACTAGCATACGGGGGCTTCTGAAAATCAGGGGCCCTTTTCTGATTGCCTAGAGTATGGACTATCATATCTTGGGATCTAAATTTGAGGCCCCCGGTGTCTGGAACACCCCCCAACCTCAAGCCCTGACCTGGGCTCCCGAGCACCTCTGCGGTGATTCGCATGGCGGTCTGCACGCAGGGTTTCCGGTTGAAGGTCTGCACCCTAAACCCACCCTAAACCCTAAACTGAAGGTATGAGTTTGAGGGGTTCAGTGCTTCAGGTTGATTTTTCAGGATTCAGGGTTGAGTCGAAATCATTTCCAGGTGGGTAGTTTTGCCCACGTAACCCTGGCGCAGCCCTGGTATAATTATGTACCTCTAGTCTCCCTGTACAAGACTGACATAAGCCTTATGTCAGGGTACAGTACCCACCCGGTAACTCGCCACATGGAAATTTTTCTCAACCGAGTCCTGAGCCCTAAGCCGTGGGGGGGGGGTATCATGTGAGAGATATCGCTGCAACCCTAAGCCCTAAGCCTAAGCCCTAAATCCTAAACCCTGAAAACCAAGCCCTAAACCCTAAACCAAGTCCTAAACCCTAGACTTTAGACCCTGGACCAATCTGCCCCCCAACCTTAAACGTACTGATTCTTCAGGGAGCGTCAGGAAGGAGATTGCTTAATACTTCTTAAGGTTTAGGGTTTAGGATTCAGGGTTTCAAAATCTCGTAGACTACTGCCTCTGGCCGCTTCCCCGCTCCCCCTTAAGCACCAGCAAATACACTCTCCACCCCCCGACTTGTAAATTTAACCGTGAGCCTTGAATTAAACTTACACCCTTAACCGTAAACCCTGAACCCTTAACCCTAAACCCTGAACCAGCCGTATCCCCACTTGCGCACCGACCCTGGGCCTCCGTCCGCTTCCGCACCTGACGGCCTGCGAACACGTCTGGGGAGCATGGTGGTTTAAGGTTTGGGGGTTTAGGGTGTAGGATTCAGGGTTAAGGATTTAGGGTTTGGGGCTTGTGATCTGAGGTTAAGGGTCCTAAGGTTTCGGTAAGCTTTGGGATGTACAGTTTAAGGTCCAGGGTTTAGGGTTCAAGTCTTCTGTACGTCACCTGTGATTAAAGATCAAGCCACTATGCAGATGAAAACTATCAAAACCTAATTAAAGCCAACTTGAACTCTAATAAGAATTTAAAACCAACTTCAAATCAACTAAAGTCTACTTCAGATTAAGATCCATCTGCCTCTTCCTCCTGATCCTCTAACTCACACTCTAGCTTTTTCCACTTCGGCCCAGCTGTACTGCATGTGTTTAGCATGATTTACTTCTCATTTTCGAATCAGAGAATACTTGGCTAGGTTCTTGTATGGAGGGCAAGCTCTTCTGAATCAAGAGCGCGTGGAATACAACTTAAACACCCCCAAGAAACCCCGCTAAAGGGCCGACTAACTTCTAGAACCACCCCCAACTTTTTTCGTCGCTCTTCGGTGGCAGCGTGTGTTTCAGCTTCTGAGGAATCAGCCTCGGATTTGCTATTCAAGATCTTACGCTTCAAGGACTAAGTTCAGGATATGAGGCTTAAAGGCTGAGTGGCAAAAGTTCAAGACTGAGGATTTTAAGGTTTGGGGCTTAGGGTTTAAGGCTAAGGGCTTAAGATTTCGGGCTTCAGGTGCTTTGGGAAGGTTGTAAGATCCTGGGCATTTAGTCCGGGCCTTTAATCTTAGGGCCATTCTCTGACGTACTCTAGAAAACATGATTTGGAGTTAAATGCCTACCTGAATCCCCAATGTAAAGTAATAGCCCCAAACCCATGATAACAGCCGTTACAGGCCATCATTTTACATACTTGCGGAGTTTGGGGCTTGAGGGGTTGTGGTTAGGGCTTAGGGTGGAGACCTGAGGACGAAATTGTGAGGGGTTGAGGTTCAGCATTTTAGGTTTTCAACCAAAATGTCTCCAGGCTCAAACGGGCTCAAATGAGGCTTCGACAAATCTTTAGGAAGGTTATGCAGATTTTTTTTTCTTTTAAATGTGTCCTTTTCCTACTGTCAAGTCGGAAAGCTTTCATCTCCTCCCCAAGTGTTCCCTATATGTTATGAGAGGTCAGAATGGGAAAATTCACTACACTGGGATAGAGAGCTTGGATGCTAGAAGAGGGGATTACTAGCTAGGTACACGGTTAAGGGTTCACACGAGCACCTGAAGCAATGTGCCTGTCATTGATCTTCAGATGGTCCCTCTACACCTGAAACCCGTACTGTAACCCTGAACTGCCCCCCCCCCCCCACTCCTATATAACCGCTGCCCAGCTTCCATTCCATGTTGCACGCTCATTTTCCATTACCAAGGTCCTCAACATGAAAGCTTGCCGAATGAACCCAGTACCACATTCAGGAAACCAGGGAATTTGGTGAGGTTCCATCCTCTGGATCAGTCTCAGGGTTTAGGGTTTAGAGCCTAGAGGACTCTAAACACGCGAACCTCGTACCTCCTAGCAGGGGAATCTTTTGGATCCTCCAGAAACCCTCTGGGACCAATCTATTACCTCAAACCCAAAACCTTAAAACCGAAACCCTAAGATCCAAACCGAAAGGGTTTGGAAAACCCCCGAGGCGAAATCCGAGAAACACCCACCGATGATCGCCGGGCTGTAGCTTGTTGGCCAGAATGAGCTTCTCCTTTATAAGCTGGGTTAAGGGTTTAGGGTTTAGGGTGGTTTCAGGGGTGTAAGGGTTTTAGAGTTCAAGTTTTGGGCTTAATGGGCTTAAGAAGTTTCAGGGATGCAGGGGTTTTACAGTTTCAGTTTTGGTTTAAGTGGGTTTCAGGGGGTTGTTCAGTGCTTTGGGGTTCAGGGGGCTTAGGGGGGTTCAAGGTTGAAGGGGTTTACGATATGAGGAGTTCGGGACAGCAGAGTGGATAACCAAACAGAAAAGAACCTATAAACTAAATGGAAACTGCGATGATGTAGGGGTGGAAGATTTTGCGAGCTAGCAAGGTATGTTGCGAAATCAACTAATGTCGAATCCCGATTAGTGCGCGGAGGCTGTCATTTGGTAAAGCTTTCAGAAAAATCTTCTGGACCCCAGTTCGATTTGGGGTCTACGAAATAAGCAAAGTTTCTCACCCCAAACCCTAAACCCCTAAATCCCAAACTCTAAACCCCCAAACCCTAAACCCTAAACCCTAAACCCTAAAACCCTGAACCCTAAACCCTAAAACCCTAAACCCTAAACCCCTATACCCTAAACCCTAATCCGCATGGCTTCCTTCCTTTTCTCCTATGTCTGAGGTCCCTGTCTCCCTCTTCTCTTCAAAGCTAAACTTACAGTCCCCCTTTAAGTAGATAGAATATGGCTTTTGGTATGTTATAATAAGATCCCCATATACCCCATATTCTATATACTTAAGGGGGACTATAACTGAACCACTCCCTTCTCTTCCCTCCCTGCTGCCTTCCTCTAAGAAATCTGAAGGAAGCAGAAGCATCTCCCTTCATGTATTGACTACACAAAAATGGGACCCTCCAGATCCCACCACATTTGTTGAGCACTTTTTCTGATAGAGGCACCCCTTCTGGTTTGGGGGCTAATCAGCATCCAACATAGGACATTGTCTGGCTACAGCTTGGGTTTAGGACACCGGGCTTTTACGATGTTAGGATTTCCCTAACCCCTAAACCTTAAACACGTGAGCTTGCACGGCTCAGGGCTCAGAGTTAAGGTTCGAGGCTGGAAGTAGAATTGGGGTTACACCTCAGCGCTTAGGATTGAGCCTAAACCTTTCTGGTGCCTGAGGGGGAGTGGGGGAGTGAATATAAGGGTTCGGCTACCGAGGGTTCTCATCGGGGTATGTATGGGGGTTATGTAAGGTTTATTCTAAGGATCCACGACCCCACTCTCCCTCAAGCACCAACTAGTTAAGGGTCTAGGGCGTTAGATTGAGTGAAACAGGACACTGTTCCCGTCATATAGGCTACAGTCATGTTTCCATATGGTTCCTGGACATGGGTTTCTTGTTGGGGAATATATTTGGGACTCTACTTAACCTTGGTGGACCTATATAAGAACGGTTTCAGTGCGACACCCTTAATTGGGTTTGGGGTTTCCAAGCCAGTTGTGACTCTAAATCCTTCATCACCTTAAGCCCTAGAACTTCAGTAGCCCTAAACCCTAACTCAAAGCCCTGGGGACCGTAGTCATCATTTTTGAGTCAGAAGTATGTTCCCCAAACTTACGTGGACTCCGCAGGAAAGACACGGTTTAGGATTTAGGGTTTACGACTACAGCCCCCCATGATCGTGTGGGGATGACATGTGCAACTTTGGAAACTTGGACAGTCGCGCCTGTCCGCCAGATCCCTGCACTGTCAACCTGGATGCTGAATCGTTGAGGTTTCAGGGTCCAGGGCTTGAGGCTCGAGAATAATGATGAAGGCGCCACGCTGACAATAATGAATTCTCCCGATATAGTAGCATTATACAACAAGGGAATATTCAATAGGCTGACTGGTTGTTAGAAAGAAATAAGGGAATATAATAACTAGAGGGATTGTGATGATTATGTAAGGATTATTTCCCTTATTCCCTACTAACCAGGTAGGGAGTAGGGGGAGGGGGGGGTGTAGCGGTGCGAAGCTTTCGGCTTTTGGGTCTGCCCAAAGCCTGCGCACACCAAACCCAAAGCCTTAGGAGTCAGGGCTAAACCCTAAACCATTGGATACCCCCTGCGCCCCTGACTTCTGAACCTGAGGTCTGAAGATTATACCTTCTCCCACACTAACATGTCCCTTGCAGACTACTGTCCTTCCAGAAGGAGCCTATATGGTATCTTTTCAGGTAAGGTCCTGATCCTTCGTATCCCCTTGCGTTTCATCCCTAAACATTACTTACTGGGGGATAGCAGGGAATAAGGGAATAGAAACCTACATACTCTTTTTTCCCTACTCCCTACTCAATCCCAGCAAGAAAAGTCCAACTTCGTCCCTGAACCCCCAACCCTAAACCCTAAACCCTGAACCCTAAACCCTAAACCCGAAACCAAACCCAGCAGCTCCAGGGTTGCTTTCGATTTGGGGGGCTCAGGGTTGAAGGGCCTATGGTATTGGTTCAGTGGACCCCCACCCAGTAGGGTCATATGGGGAGCATATAGGGGACTAGTATTGGGGTCATTAAGGGGGATACTAGGATATTAGATTATAGCTCATGTTTTAGGTGGACCCCCCACCCAGTAGTAGTGACTATAAGGGATAATAGGGATCATATTAGGGTTCTCTTATATTCCTATTATACCACTATTACAAGGTGGAGGGTCCTCCTAAGGTATTGGGTTTAGGGTTTAGGGCTTAGGGGGTTTCTTGTTTGTGTCTACAATTGGTACTTTCCCTTTTTAAGGGGACCCCAACCTCTAGACCTCCAAATGCTGCAATCCTTGTCATAGGGACCACCTCTTCTCCAGGCATGGGGCAAAGATATATCAAAAAGCGCTTCTTGAGCTCGGGAACTGCCTGCAATTCTGTCAGCTCCTCTGCACTTGAATTCTCAAAGCCAGCAAGCCTGTAAATCTCCCAGTGACCCTACTAGTTCAGGATCAGGGCCCTGGCTCATCCAAAAGTATCATACACCTTGAAGCCTAAACCCTAAACCCATAATCCTATACAATAAACCTGAAACCCTACTCCCTAAAGCCTACAAACCCTAAACCTTGAGTCCAGAACGTGCAATCCCAGCCACAGTTTCGATGAGGAGTAGCTCTCCAAGTGGTACTCACCATCCCCTCCTCCAGCGTGAAACTTTGATCTAGGTGAAAGGACCTTGGGGGTAAACCCCTAAACCCTAAACCATTAGGGTTTAGGGGCGCAGGGTTTAGAGTTACCCAAAACCCCAAGCCCCAAAACCCTTAACCCCAAACCCTAAACCCGGCTCTAGCAGTTGAAGGATGTCGCGGTCTTTGGGCCTTTGGCCTTTCGCGATTTTAGTGTGTACGTTTGAAGGCTTCGGTACGGATGCGACTCTGCAGGTGTGGATTTACTACGGATTCCGCTACCATACCTGCATACGATCCCCCCCTAGGTTCCCCCCTGAAATGTAAACTATTTTGAGGATATCCACAGTTAACGAAGGGGGAACCTGGGGGTAGTATAGGGGAGAATAGTAAGGGAATCCATGAGTTCATGGCCTTCGATACTTATACTCCTTACCTCGGGGCTTTCCCAAAATTGGGTTACATAGGGTGTATATAGGAATGCATAGGGTCAAGCGTTTCCCAAAATTACGGGTACCCTCTTCATAGCAAGGCTTATATAGCATTTTGGGGTCTATATTTTGGGGCCCCCCTTTCAGGGGGCAACTACTGCCGAATCCTACTTGCAGGTGCATGGGTAGGTGTCAGTGGTTTAAGTAAGATAAATACGAGCCTAAACCATTCTACTTTAAGGGACTGAGACTTACACTTATACCTGCTCATAAGCCTACAAGTCTAAGAGCAAGGCTCTACACTCCGGCCATTGCTCTCTTTATTTCCCCAAGGTCTCTGAGGGCCCTGCTTTTTGATTCCCTAAATCCTAAACCCTGAGCCCTGAAAGCTTTAACTCGCTGAGCTTCTGTGAAACCCAGCATGGCAGCCCTAAAGGATCAATCCTCAATCCCAGGAGCCAGGGCTCAAGGTTTAGGGTTTAGGGGTTTAGGGTTCGGGATTTGGACTGCGCCCTCCAACGCAGTTCCTGCTTTAGGTTTGGTACGACTTTTTGGTTATGATTCTTATGAGCCCCCCCCTCAAAAATACGGAAGCCGTCATCTCCTAATACTAAACCACGCTCCCCTAATATTGAATATTCACCCTAGAATACATTACACATGGGTGAGCGGGCAGGCAAGTTTAACATCAGGGTGGGGGGTGTGCATCATGTTAGTGTCAAGTGATGAAAACATGTTGTAGGGTGGCTGTAAACCTGAAGATCCCCAAAGGGTGGGCTTTGGGGGGTTGGGGATCGGCCAGAATCCAGGGGCCCTTCTACACCCATGATGTGCCCCTGACATTAAACGTTGCCATTGATATATTGGGAATATCTAATACCGGATGGGGAGGTTTTTAATAGTGATGGGAGCGGTTATAATTCTTATCCAACCCCCAATATAACCTTAGCATCCATGTTTTCCATGTCTTTTCCATTTGCTTCTCCACTATTGAAGTATAAGTACTCTAAACCTTATATAAGCCTATCTATTGAGGTCTAATTGCTAGATACCCCACTAAACCCTAAGCCCTATACACCCGTATGCACCCTCATATATCTTTAACCCCTAATACCACCATATAAGCACTTCTATACCCCTACGTACCCCCCCCTACACCCTAAACCCTATACACCCCTATACAACCTTACATACCCCTAAATATACGCCCTATATGAGCCGTAGTATCCCCCCCAATATCCTGTGTATAACCCTTTTAAGGAGTTTAGGCTATAGCTCATATACCCCTAGAGACGGAGCTCGGAAGCAGACCGAGCCGCTTAGGCGCAAGGTCCAGTATTGCTCATCGAAGTCGCCGTCGCCTCTGCTGTCAACTGAGTTTTGGGTTTAGGGCTTAGGATTTAGGGCGGAATTTAGGCTTTAGGGGTGTAAACAAAACGGCATGGGAACCAGGATTACAAAGGGCTATGCAGGGAGAAGTTCCCCCCAAAGAGGTTGTCTTATACAGCGGGACTTTGGGGTCGAGGGTTTAGGGTTTAGGGTCCATACATACCCAGTGTATACCCATTGCGGGTCCTGGAAGGAGCCCATACCAAGAGCACGTAAATCCAACCAACTCCTTCATACTAACATTCAACCCCCATCCAGAATATCAATTATTTGCCCACGAGAGACAGTACAAAACTGGCGGGCATATCTAATATCATGGATGAAACATGCTTTAACACCAACCCTAGAAACTAAACATCGCCCTATAGTAGTTTCCATTCCCCTACATACCCGTATATACTCACTTTTTTGGGTGATTCTGAAGGGATTCATGAGGTTTTGGGCCTGGCTTCATTGTTTGATACCTTCCGGCTTGAGTCTTGTTCTGTTCGAGGTCTAAGCTCCTCGGATTCCGGCCGTACACCATACGGATGTGCGTAGGTCAGAAACATCTTACCACCGGTTGCGTGGGGCCAGGGCAACGCATTCTTGATGGACAAATGTTACATTACATGCGGGAAACGACTGAACAGTTGGGTGGAAATTCATAACTTGCACGCATGCCCCATGACTGTCCAGGTTGGCTGGGGTTTGCTGCCAGCGACCAGCCTCCTGTGATCGGGATTGCTTTCCCTTTCACGTCAGCACCGAGACCAATGGACATGCTCTTGGTGGCGGTGCCCAAACGGATTTCGATCGAGCTGCTGCAGCTGAATGTTCCGCGGTAAGCTCCATTGCAGGCAAGTCTCCTCTCTCAAAGGTTGTTCTGCGCACTTCGTTGCGCGCGGCCTTGTCAAAGTACGCCGTGCATCTAAATGTGCCATGCCAATAAAACAAGGCCGTTCGTCCAGACCGACAAGAATATTTCTCTGTGTACAGAAGCTGAACAGCTACGTCAAATGTAGAGCAACAAATTGGGTTCAGGTGTTAAAAACACTTTAGATGAAAGGAAAGGTCTGAACTCCTGACCTCCTAGCATCTGATTCAAATGGGGAATAACGCCAGAAAAGCCTAAGACCTGGAGCCCGTGAAACCACAAAAAAACCTTAGAATCTCTCTCATGCAGGTTTTAATTCCGCTCCGTCCCAAGATCTCAAAAATCGGGCTCCTTCAAAAGGGCTTAGCAGGGGCTATACCAAGTAGTGGACAAGAAAATGGAAACTAGTACTTCGTGTTAGTATTTGATGCACACACACATACACATACACACACACAGACCGAATATCAATTGGGGCGCAAGAATCGCATGCACGTGGGAAACCCTACTTCTCACAAACAAACCCTAAACCTTAAACCCTAAACCATGATGTCATTCAAGTTATTCAAACGATTAGACGGCGTAATTTCGCTTGATAGGTAACGAAAAATTCAGCGAGGTCCTTAAACAGGTTTCTCTCATCTGCAGGTAACACGGAACCAAACTCTCAAACCTTGAACCCCTATGCAAAAGCTTAGTTCCTAAAACCCACTTGGAGGTTATCTTAACGTCTACTTTGTAATGGGCATCATGGGGCTTACAGGAGGGGTTGTTCTGAATAATGAATAATAAGTAGACTTACTAAGTCAAGGGTGCCGCCAAGCAAAACCTGCAAAAACCTTAATCCCTACACACCCTAAACCTTGCAGACGGGTTCAATTCCAGGGACAGTTTTTGGGGTACGAAGTGGAAATCCAGGGATTCTGTTGACTTTTTCGATTCCGTGGCGGTGACTGAAAACACTGGCCGGCGTGGCATCTCGGGGCATTTCCGAAGTTGTTACGGCTTTTCTCGATAAGCACCTCTTTTCAATCCAAAGCTTTTTTTGCCATGAAACGATGCGCATTGTTTCATCGATGATTTTAACGTTTTGTGACCTGCACCTGCGGCAGCGTCTTCAGAAGTCCAAAGGTGTGAGGAGTTCTGAATTAATTTAAGATTTCCCCAATAATCCAAGCTTCGGCCCAGTAGCCCAAGGTGAGTTCCGGGAGTCCAAGGTATGCGGAGTTCTGAACTAATTTCTCATTTTTCGAGTAATCCAAGCTTCGGCCCAATGGCCCAAGGTGAGCTCCAGTAGTCCAAGGGTGTGAAGAGTTCTGAACCAATTTCTTATTTTCCCATTAACCTAAACTTCGGCCCAGTAGCCCAAAGTGAGTTCCAGTAGTCCAAGGGTGTGAGGAGTTCTGATCTACAGTAATTGAAGAGATTTTCCCATTGATCCAAGCTTCGGCCCCCTTTTCCAGGAGCCGCAGCCAGCTAGCTTCGGGCATCTTATCCTTCCTCGTAGCAGGATTGGCAGCTTTGCTTCAGCATGCTTCAGCCAAGTCCGCTTGCGCTCCGCCATGCGGCCACCGACTACGAACCCGCTTGTGCTCAGAAAAAATGCAGAATGCAACACATCTTCTGACAAACCGGAACATGCTTGTGCGCTGAGTATACACAGAATGCAACTTCTTTAGACAAACCCACACAACATCCTTGCAAACGAGCCGTTGGGTAAACCTTGAACCCTGCATGTAAAAAAAAAACATAAACCTTGAACCCTAAACCCAAAAGCCGCAATCCTAAAACCTGAATCCCAAAACCTCAACCCTAAACCCCGAAGCCTAAATCCCAAAGCCTAAATCCTAAACCCCAAAGCCTAAACCCTAAACCCCGAATCCCAAAGCTTAAAGCCTAAACCCCAAAGCCTAAACTTCAAAACCTAAATCCTAAACCCTAAAGCCCGATTCGAAGCCTAAACCCCCCCAAAGCCTGAATCCTAAACCCTGAAACCCGACTCGAAGCCCAGGGGACTGATCTGCAACTCACCCCCTTCCGTCGCGGCCAGCCAGCGCTGTGAGGCCTGGTTATATTGGGATAGTGGAAAAGAAAATGGAAACTATAAGGATTATTGGGGTTATATAGGGATAATGGAAAATAAAATGGAAACTATAGGGATTCTTGGGGTTATATTGGGATAATGGAAAATAAAATGGAAACTATAGGGATTCTTGGGGTTATATAGGGATAATGGAAAATAAAATGGAAACTATAGGGATTATTGGGGTCATATAGGGATAATGGAAAAAGAAAATGGAAACTACTATAATATATAGGTAGGGGCAGGTTCACACCGAGGGCTTATCTTCTCCCCATCTGGCAGATGAGGGTTCCTATTTAGGGTTTAGGGTTCCTATTTAGGCTTGAGGGTTTAGGGCTCCTATTTAGGCTTTAGGGTTTAGGGTTCCTATCTAGGCTTTCGGGTTTAGGGTTCCTATTTAAGCTTTGGGGTTTAGGGTGTAGGTTTCTTATTTAGGGTTTTAAGCGAAATTCTCCCCATGTTGCAGTTTAGGGTCCTTATTCAGGGTTTAGGGTTCTGAGGGACCTTGGAGTTCAAGGCTTTGAGGATCTATGAGGGTCTAGGGCTTACACATGGAATTCCAATAGAGGCCTTATGAAGGGCACTTCCGGTTGAAAAAAGGATATTCATGGTGTCCCTTTTGCGCACCCAATAGATCTACACTCACCCATAATTCTAAGGAGTCCTATATACACTCACCAAAAACCACAAACAAACGGGATTTGCTAGATAGGGGGGCCCCAACATAGACCCCAACATTCTACCTACAAAGGCACCCCTACTTTGTGGAAACTAAGCCATAAACCCAAAACATCCCAAAACCCTAAGCCCTGAACCCTAAACCCTTTAGGGGAGTCGCGTTAGCCTGGGGAAAGTAAGCTGTGGCGCTTTGCTTTGTTTGGACTGCGTATCCGCAGCTTGCTCGAATTTGGGAGTTGACCCCACATGGTCTTGGGGTTAGGGTCTATGGTTAAGGGTTTAGGGTTTGGGGTTTAGGGTTCGGGGGGTTTAGGGTTCGGGGGGTTTAGGGTTCGGGGGGTTTAGGGTTTGGGGTTTAGGGATCAGGGTTGTTAGTGTTCAGATTTAAACAGGGGCACCCTGACGACCTTTTAGGACTTGTCATGGGGTCTCCATAAGGGATTGTCTTCCGGATACTTTGAGAAGGACTCTGTTCGGTCTTTGAAGCCCTAAACCCTAAAACCCTAGGGTCTGGACGGCTCCAAGGACCTCATCCAACTTCTATTGCAAAGAGACCCCACCTGGGAGGAAGCCTCTCCTAAGCAAACCCTACCCTAAATCCTAAACCCTAATCCCTAAAGCGCCCAAAAGCCTGATCGCTAAACCCTAGTCCCTAAACAGTACCTGTAAACCGAATTTACAGGGTTTAGAGTTTACGGCTTAGGATTCAGGGTTGTACTGGCTCTCATTACTAAGTTTAACCCATAAAACTGTGGGTGATTGGACTTACAGGTAAGCCCTACTAAGCTCCCAAAAGCCTCAACCTACATCGCCCAGCCAAAGCAGCTAGCATAGAGATATCTGAACTAAACTTTCGCAAAAGGGTACCCTAATCCCTAAACCCTAAGCCCTAAACCCTGAACGCGCAACCACAACCCAAGGCTCCCCCAAGCCATACCCTCCCCCCAAACTAACAGGGAACCCCCAAAAGTGCTCCCTGAAGACTACCGCCTTGAAAAGGGGTCCCTTAGGGGTTATATATAGGGGTATATAAGGGGATACATAGGGGGATGTAGGGTGTAGGGATTATGGTTTAGGGCTCCACACATTAGGGAGATTTTGGGGCGGGGATCCCTCTAACAAGGATGATATTGGGGTCTCCCTATCTATGGAAAATACGGTATCTGTTTCCATGCTGCTTTGGGGACACGGAACCTTCACCATTCTCCCCCTCGGCCATAGCCGCTCTCAGCTATAAACCTGCTCAACTGTCTAGCCTGCACTGATTCCTCTCAACCACGGTACAAACCTTCAACCGTAAACCCTAAAGCCGAACATACAAATTGCCTTGCTGCCAAGGCGGAAGGTGCCATCCGGCGGGCGGACAGTGATCTGCACATGGTGCCGCTGCCAAAACCTCTTAGGCAGCCCCTCTGAGGGTGTGCTTAGGGGTGAACAGTTTAGAGGGTAACTGTTGATACTAAAAACCCTGCACGATTTTAGTATACTATAGTAGCATAATTCCCAAGGCATAAGGTATGTAAGGTCATGCAGGGTTTTTAGTACCCACCTAAGGAGGCATGTGGAGGGGTCCTTGAGGACTCTCCAGGATTCGAGGATTTAGCATGTAGGCGCTCTGAGAGTTGTGAGCCCTATCTTTGGGCCATGCCTTTAGGATTCCTTTACATTGGTTAGTATATGGCCGGACCTTGATTTCGGGTCACCACCCCTAAAGCACTCCGATATAATCACTGGGTAGGTAGGTTTAAGAAATACCCTAACTCCTAGACTCTAGACCCGGAAGCCGCAACCAAGAACCATAAACCCACCTCGACAAAGAAGCTCAAAAAGATCGACCCAGAAGTGTCCAAAAGTTCTAGAGCCCAAAACATTGAAAAACTTAAAGTCTAAGCCGTGAACTCAAGACATGAAGCCTATGATCCCTATAGAATCCTCTACAGCTCTTAGGCGTGAGGTCGGAGCTTTTTCCTTAAAGCCCTCAATGCTACAGACCAACTTCTTCAAGAATCTTATGCGCAGCCACCAAAACCACAAACAACAACTACCCAATCCTATTCTTTTGAAGGTCCTATTTCTGGCTCTATTTACCAGCAATTGTGACATCCTAGTTCTTAGGTATAGCCCATACACTGCAGGGAAATGGAGCCTCGGACAAGCAATAAACGCCAAGCCCAAACGCATGCAAATCCGTACCCTGAGCCGAGAGCAAATCGTCTGGGTTGGCCCCCCAGCTATCACGCAGTTGCAGCTGCCCCTCCTCAGGGGTTCAAGGGTGCGGGCTTTGAGACTTAGGGTTTAGGGCTTAAGCACTGCCAGAATTTAGAGATTATCAAGCCCCGAGGCCCATCAGCCCTTAACCTTACAATCTAGGGCCTTTCCAAAGGGTCCTAGAACATTCCTAACCAAGAAACTACCAACCCAAAAAAGGAGCTACAGTGGAGGGCCCAAGTAAGCCCGGAACTTTACCCCTATATGAGCCCCGTAGTCCGTAGCGTGTCTGACGTCTTCGATTTAAAGTCTCTCAAAAACGGGAGACCCCTAAACCCTAAACCCCTCAAGCCCATGTAAACTTACCATTGGTTGGGGTTCCCAAATTTCCTCAATCTCTAAATTTGAAAACTTCAAGATTTCAAGCTCAGAAATCCACCCCCAAATCCTAATGGTAATGAACCCTAAACCTTAAACCCTTACAAAGGAGGCTGCTGTCCCCATTTGGGAGCAGATACTGTCAGGGTTTAGGGTTCAGGGTTTAGGGTTTATCCGGTAATCAACGTGGGTAGTCCCTGGCATAAGGATTTTACTATATGAGCTATTGTCTAAACTCCTGGTATCCCCCTTAATAACCCCTATAGCAGTCCCTTATATAACCCCAGGGGACCCCTGTTAAAAACCTAGAATCCTAGAAGGCTAAACTCTAAGACCCTAACAGGTAAACCCTAAACAAACCATAAGCTAAACATATTCGCGAATGGTATGGTTTCCTAACCACAACAACGGCAGCCTAATTCAGCTTCCTTGTATCTGCATCTGTCGCGGGACCCTCCCAAACATGTTGTCCAGCTGTTTATTGGGGCTTATAAAAGACGTTTGTCTGCAACTGTTTTCAGGACACCCCTTCCTTTCAGGACACCCTTAATTAGAGAACCACCGCAAAGGCTGAAAACCCTAATCCCTAAACCCTAGGCCCACCCAGAAAAGGGTTTCAGGCCACTGAAACCCCACTCCTCTGTGCAGGCGAGGCAAAGACCCGAGGCCACATGTTTCAGGCGCATCCATCGGTAGGTGCCTTACACGATTTTGGGTTTAGGGTGTTGTGTAGGGGTTAGAGTTTAGGGTTTAGGGTTAAGGTCTTGGGATTCAGTGTGTAAGGGGTTTCGGTTTAGTGTGTAGTCTTTGGGGTTTAGATTTTGTCACTTAGGGTTTAGGGTTAAGTCTTCTGGGACTGTGGAATAGAAAAGAAGAGACGAAAGAAGTACCATATACCAGGTTATTCACGGCTTCGGGTTAGGTTGGGAACGGGGGAATGGTCTTCGTTGGCAATATCCAGGTTATGCCCGGAAAATGATGCAATGTGCAAGACATCTGCGATTCTGGTTCCCTACGCCCCAGACCCTAAACCCTAAACCTTACCCAAGAGCAAGGTTCCCTCATAGTCTTGATTTCTTGGTCCGGACTGTAAAGTCTTCTGGGAAATCTGCACTAAAAGGCCCTGAAGGTTCGAAACCCTGAATCTCTCAATCCCTAGGTTCTAGAGTTTTAGGGCTTACGTCTTAAAGTCTTAAAGTCTAGAGGCTATTAGAAGAGAAGCCACTTTCGGATTTAGGGTTTAAGGCTCCACGCAATACCCACACCTCCTTGCTGGCAAGACGCGCGCAAAGTTCCTCGGCAAGCACACGTGGACAATCCAGGCAAACTCAGATTCGATGTGGAGCATCTCTTCCGAATCACCTCGGGGTTGCTGCAGGGATAATGGAAAAGAAAATGGAAACCCCAGGTCCCTTTAAAGGGGTATATAGGGTTCTCTAGGGGTATATATAGGGGTTATATTGGGATAATGGAAAAGAAAATGGAAACTACTATCTAGGGTTTAGGGTTTAGGGTTTATAAACCCACTTAAGTAGATAGAATATGGCTTTGGGTATATTATAATAAGATCCCCATATACCCCATACTCTATCTACTTAAGAGGAACTATACCTGTTGAACACCCAGAGTCTTGGGGCTTTGCATGCCATGAATTTCGGTCCTGGGGTTAGGCAGACTAGTACTGATATTGGAAATACCTCTGCCACTAACCCACATGTGCTTAAGGGGGAGTGGGGGAGTGAATATAGGTACCATTACAGTGGTATATATGGGGATTACATAGGGACTATGTTAGGGATCTACTCCCCCACTCTCCCTTAAGCACCAGAAGTAGCAACAAAGATGCTAATGCAAGTCCCCGCCGACAAGCTTTAGACATTGCAACAGCCAACAGCCATCGCTACCGTTGATGCAACAAATCTTGCAAAGTCATTAGGAGTGTATGGGGCAGTGTAAGGTTTCCTGCGTCTGGCACAATGATGGTCAGGATAAAGATGAAGATGATGATGGTTATCACCGGTATCCTAAGGAGTTAACCCGATAACGATAAAAATTGCGTTGCTTTCTTGCTTCATCATGCTACATCGGGCTTTGATGTTGTGCATAACTTTTCTGAAGCTATGCAAAGGAGATTCGAATTAAAGCTGTTGACCCGCAGGCAGTTCCCAAAGAATTGTTCCTCTGTTCCCCGCATACTCAGCACGCTTTGGGGTTTTGATTCCTGTTTAGGTTTTCGGGGTTATGGATCACTAAATTCACCCTGCCCCGACACGACCTTGGGAATCCAGATATTTGGTTTCCTAAGCCCCTAAACCCTAAACGCTAAGTTAAATCCATCAGTAAGCGGCCCGTAATCTCGACCCAAAACAAGGACTCTCGAAAGGGGTCCCAATTTCCGGTCATCCATCAAACCCAAAAACCTGTACAACGCCACCAGTCCTCGGCCCAGAACCATTGACCTGCAATGCGAAACCCAGACCCAGAACTGGGTTTAGGGTTTAGGGCTGTTTAGGATTTAGGGCTTCTCTTCTGGAATCGTTAGATCCGCTGCACGCTCTAGATTTGCATGCAAGATTTCCACCCCAGGACATTTAGGGTTTAGGGTTACAAAACAAATTGGCACTGAACCTTTAATCCACTATCTATAGCCATACAAACTCGGAGGCCTGAACCCTTGACCACAAAACTGGAGCTTAAGCCCTTACGCAGACACCCTTGGTCCTCTACCTAGCCTAAACCCTAAACCCTAAAGGTCCTGCACTAGCCCAATGTAACCCCCATATAACCCCTATATAACCCCGATAATATGGTAGCTACCACTTTCTTGTCCATTATCCCAATCAAATTCTGAGGCTCTGGCTCTCTGCGCGGTAAGGGATACTTGCAAACTCATCGAAGTCCATCTGCGCAATGCCCTGCTTGAGGGGATCTATGGGTTTCGACTTTACAAGGTTTGGTGGTTTGGGTGTCGGGTTGAGCTGGGCTTTAGGATGCTATAGGTTTTGGGGATTCTAAATGTCTGCGGATCTCTCGGGCTTTCCGGTCTAAAGACTTAGGCAGGAAGGTTCAAGCGCAAGGAACACCGCAAACTCCCTGGTGTTCAGCAGGGAGGCGGCTTACGTAGCGATTGCTAAAGGGATCAACCCTAAACCCTAGATCCACTCCCCGCGCGTAAACCGTTACTCCCAAAAGCAGTAGGATCCTTGCTACGAAAATTCCAAACCCCATTCCGCCTACGAGGGCAGATTTTAGGGTTTAGGGCTTGTAGTGTCAGCAAAGGAAGATTCTAAGAAGGAGGAGTCCATCAGTGAACTTCCGACCCAATCACATGGGTCGTAACAACCCTAGACACAATCCTGGGTTGCTGTTAAGGAACTTAAATCAAGTTACCATAATGGGTATATACCCTAAATCCTAAACCCTAAACTTATGTAGTATATAGTAATTCCTATGGTTTCCCCACAATTTAGTAACCTAAATGAAGTTCCTTAACAGCAACCCAGAATCCCTGAGGTGCCACTCCCTGAATGCATCTTATGAGAATGTGAACCCTATAATGGTTTAGGTTGGGTCATTCCCCC